CTTCTTCTTCTTCTTCTTCTTCTTCTTCTTCTTCTTCTTCTTCTTCTTCTTCTACATGCATCTTTTCCCCAAACCCTTTCTCATCCCTTTCGCTTTTTGTAGTTTTCGTAAGAGTTTTACGGCACTTGCAACACAATAAGGTCATATAAGTGTCGAAGGTTAGAGGTGCTACAAGAGAGTAACAAACATAAAAAAGGAGGAGAGATAAGGACGATAGATGTTTGATAGGAAAGAAGGAGCAAACCACACCAGAGCACCCACCAACCACCCACTCCCTCGCTTTGTCTGTCTGTCTGTCTGTCTGTCTGTCTGTCTGTCTGTCTGTCTGTGTGTGTGTGTGTGTGTGTGTGTCTATTTCTCTCTCTCTCAATCTCTTTCTCACTCTCTCTCTCTCCCCCTTCAACCATTTTCAGTTTTTATACATACCTCACAATCAATATGCTTTTGCCATCTTCTACCATGGTGAACTCACCCCGAAAAATAAATAAAATGGTCTTTTGTTTTGTCCTGCCCTTACCATGTTTGTTTGATGCATAACCCAACAGGATATTCATGAATATTTAAATTGTCAGCCAGCTGCTCAGATCTTCTAAACCCGACTTTCTGAAACAATTCTTTTTATTACAGTTTCTTAATCTGTGTTGTCGATTTCGAATTTTTTTGGTTTAAAATTCGAATTCGAAATATTGATATGGTAAGAAAGGATATATAATGTAGCTACAATTTTATTGTTAAAAGAATTAAACAATTGTTGTCACTCTCTTAACAAATGTTGTTTTATGGGTTTAGAATAGTTGAGCAGATTTCCCGCGAAATTGATTTTATCCTCTTTCCTCTTCCCCCATCTAGACTATTTTTAGGTGGAGGCTTTGGTTCCTTTTTCCATGGGTGAAGTAGCTCTGCTGGTACTGTGTTAATCGTGTTCCTTTGCCTCTTTTCCATCCTACATTGAGAACAAAACAGCCAGTCACCACCCCCCTGACAACAACTCCACCCCCCTTTACCTCATCGTTTTCTAGACCACATCCCATCCCCCTCCCTAGACCACACCCTCCATCTCTCTCTACTCCTCTGTGTGATCATGTCCGAAGAACGGGTCACTCACTATTCCCTATCCACACCCCCAACCCCTGTCCATAACATACCTCCACCCACCCCCACCTTTCCTACTTGTGTGTGTGATCGTGCCTGGAGGACTGGTCACTCACCATGTTTCTGACCACCCCCTCCCCCCCCCCCAATCCTCCCTTACCTCCCCGACCCACCACCTCTGATTGATATCGCTTGTTGGAGTTGAGATGATCCCCGCTTTTTCAAGAACAATCGATTAGGAATAGTCTGTTTTGATACACTGCTATCTCAGAATTACAAAGTTCTATCTGTTCAGTACCTAGTTTTGAGAAATGTGGCGTCCAAGATTTTGAGTTTCATTTCATGTCAAGCTTTTTCGAATGCAATGCTTTGGATATCTTAACAACGGCTACGAATAATCTTACGATTTTGATAGAGCAGACGGAACATTTGGTTTCTGACCTCATTGTCTTAGTAACTGAAAACAGGCAAAAATATCTGATAGAACATGGTAATTCTAAAGTGCCGATATGTTACAGTTTGATTTTGCTGTAAACATCTTGCCAGACAAAGAATTAGTCATTTTGAGATAGCAGCTGTCAGTTCCCATCCTCATCAGCCATGGTACTCCCAACTGATCTGAAATTCGCCTTGCGCGAGATGAGAAATCCATCTCAAATTTTCCGAAACTCTCAACATGTGCGTTTTAACATTTTATTCATGTTCATGACCACCACAATCAGACAAATTATTTTGTTGTTGGTCATCTCAACATTCCAAAGTCTTTCAAAAACAAAAATAGTTATCAAAGATACTACTATATTATATAACAGTGGCCTCTCTGATCAATTATGTCTCTATTGCTTTATTTTGACTGATCACAAGGAAAAAAACTCTTCTGGCGCCGCTTCCCTTTGCAGTATAAAACCTTCTCCGCTGACCTTATTTCCTTCCCATACTAGCCATGCCAACCCACCAACCAGCTTTTGGGAACAGCTTGTTTCGCCCTGGGTTTTTTTTTCTCTGTATTTTAAGTTAGGAAGTGAATTATGGTGGTGAAAATTTCACCCATGGTGTAATGGTGTCTTTGGTTAGAGGGATAGAATGTTTACATTTGTTTTAAAGTCAGCCCAAGTTATTTATGTTTTTAGAATAAAGAGATATTTTGTAGACTTTCTAAAAAGTCAGAATACAGTACGTCATAGGCATTGCTATAATATTTGTACAACGCTCAAGGCATGTATTCTTTCTTCGGGGTTGATTTTTTTATGAATCCCACAGACTATTATAACCACAATTGTTATGACTTTAGGTGGGTTTTTTTAATGCGTATTAGATCTAGTCGATCACTGACAGAAAAATGCCTGGAAAGCCTTGAATTTCCGATTGGTGTTTATCCAAAGTGACGTTTAAGATTTCAAATACTTAGAAACAAGTACAAGCAAGCCATAATCCTTTTTTTCTCTTCGAATTAACATTTCTTTTCAACAGTAATGAAATTATTGTCAACGATTGCTACTTAATTGGTTGGTTATTCCTGTCCTAGAGCAAATGGGATTTGTAAAGAAGAGAACAAGACTCACGACAGTGGTGCAGTGGTGATGAGATAAAAGACGAGAGTTTATCGCAGGCTCTGCTTTCTGAAGGCCAGCTGTTTAGGTGTACTAAGCACAGCGCTTTTTTGTACTTTTTTCAGTCACTTTATCTATTGTATCGGGTGCGTGTACCCATCACATGTTTGTCAAAATTCAAATTCTAAATTTTGAAAAGGGGCAAGAAAAGTTACATAATTATTGTTAAGGAATGGAATATTTTTTCTCTCCTGAAACATACAATTTGCTTTCTGTGCTTTGAACATCTGAAAAGCTTTTGACTTTCGTTTTTTCTTGCCCCAAGACTGTGTGAAGAAAATGAGAATGAAATTGTGTCGACCAACTGATACATGTGTATAACAAACTTAGAAACAGGTGAACAATCGATCTCATTGACGATTCCCTTCGACATTCTGCTCCCATCTCGCTCATTTTGAAGATATAGATATATGTCATTCATAATTTATGCTGTTTTATCAGAAGTCTCTTACATCTGTGATATTAAAATCTGTATGCTTTATGGGATGTAGGCCAATAATTTTAAACACTAAATAAAATACCTACCTACCTATTACGTACCTGTCTTTATCTCGCTCTCCAGGTGTGTGGGTCAGATGGAATCACATACAACAGTTACAGGTCTCTGGCCATCAAGTCTTGCAAGGCAGGAGATCCTGATCTGACAGTCAGTTACCCAGGACCTTGTCAAGGTAAGTTTGATCTGCTTTAAGCTTCCATTTCATCTTTCATTGGCTGTCCAATTATATCGATAATGGCAAAACCAGTATACATTTAACAGCTGTGCCTGGCGTTTGACAAAGGAAGTAGATTGCTCAAGTACTTCTTTCCTCCAGTCGGATCTTGACATCCTTGATATGTTCCAAAGATTTTCCACTCATAGCTCTTGTGTCCCACATTTGGCTTTCCTAATTTTCCTTTATAATGGTATGGCGACGTTTTTATCATTTTTCTTCTTTACTTCTCATTTTGTTTAACAGCGTTTGTCTTGTGCGGAGAATCTGACACGCCCCTTTGTTTGTCTTTTTTACTATCTTACTAATTCTGGTCGTTCTTTGGTTGTACCACACCTCAAACGCAGATATTTTATTTTCTTCTTTTTTCAAAAAAGTCCAGATTTCAGGACCACTATATAGGAAAATGGAGAAACTTTACTGTTAACATTTTATTATATCCATCAAATTATTTCTCTTCTCTCCTCTACTCTTTTCCACAATGCGCCCCACCCCCTCAGGTACATGCAGCACTGTGATCTGTGAGAAACAATACGCCACTTGTGAGATGGACGAGAACGGTCGGCCCCAGTGCGGATGTCCAACCTGTGAAGACTCGTCCTCAGTCGTTGAAGAAGGTGAGTTAACATTATAGAGTAATAATGCTCGCAGGGTGCGCAAAACGTTATTACTCATAGAGTGCCTTTTAAAAAAAATTCAAAGCAGAGACGAGGGAGTGTGGGGGTCTGTTGTGGCAGGCAGGGAGTGGGCCACCGACAGACAAACACAATCATGGTTTTCTGTGACTTAAGGAAGTCTTTTCAAAATGTCGAGCAACATCGTAGTGTAGCCAGCTGTTCGTTGAATTATAAATGACTGTTTCCTTGCAGGGACATGGTAGCATAAGGCCTGTTAAGCTTTGAAACTTGATGACAGGCAGCACTTGACTAAAGTTTGGTGTGTGTGAAATGTTTATCGTTTTATGTCGGTATGACAGCAGTATACATGTCCATTTAATAGGTAAGAAAAAGTATAAGCACAAGTGTGATAAAAATTCTTTGTGGTTATGGTATAGGGACACAGTGAGTAATGTTTGTCATATTATATCTGTATGACTGCAGTATACATGTTTATTTAAGAAAAATAGTATTAGCACAAGCGTGATACAACGATTGTGGCTTCAGCATAGTGACATGGAGACTTTTTAGGTGACTGGTATAGAACGACTGCTACGGTTCGGAGTGTACTCTTATACATCTTTAGTTTACACCAGGACACCTATTTTGTTTATTCTTTGTTATCGTTTACTTAACTCTTTACTTGACACTTACGTCCGATCAACAGAAGACCAAAAACAATATTTCAGTCCATATCGATCCACCATATACAGATAAGAAACACCAATTTTGGAATATTTCATAACATGCAAATTGTTCCCGACCTTTTAAAGTTTCAGTAAACGAAAATAGAATAGAAAAATCTCCGTTAAGAATGACGAAGATATGTTTCTTTTTCTAAGTTCATCAAAACGCGTCCATGACAACTTAATATACATTTAGCTATTCTTTATAATACTATTGGATGATGGTTGATTTATTTGTTGCTTTGTTAGGGGAGGGGTCTCTTTCTTTTGAGTTTCTTTGCCTGCCTTCGTAGCCGCCAAAATGTTGATGGAAACTTTCTTGTCTGACTAACTGTAACTCTGTCTGCTACCTCAGACATGGTTTGCGCCACTAACAAGATCACATACATCAGTGTCTGCCATATGAAGAAAGACTCCTGTGAGGCCGAGTTCGAAACCGAGGTGGAAGTTGAATCAACGGGCAAGCCTTGTGGACCGGGAAGCGGCGGTATGTGATTCTAGTTGAGTTGTATGTGTCAGACTGTATGTGGATTTTGTAGAGTCACTATTGTCGCATCATAATGTTGTATGTTTGTTGAATATGGTTGTTGTTTATCGTTGTTGTAGCTAAATTGTATGTGGTGGTTGTTACTAAATTGCATATCGATGTTGTTGAGGAGTATCACAAGGAAGAGCAAAAGAGAGTGAGAGAGATAGAGATATGAAGAGAAAGAGAGAGAAAGAGAGAGAAAGAGAGAGAAAGAGAGAGAGAGAAAGAGAGAGAAAGAGAGAGAGAGAGAGAGAGAGAGAGAGAGGAAGGAAGGTGAGGTAAAAACTGGTGAGGGTTTATTAGTTTTAAAATCACAATTTTCTCAGCATTCTGTGTTAGATATGTTACATATCATAACGTCCACTTCCTTGTTGTCCACAGACAAACCTGGCCCATGGAGTGAGTGGGGAGACTGCAGTGAGAATTGCAAACAGGGCGAAAAGACTCGAACTCGAGAAACTAATGGACTTAGTGTGCACGCTAATGAGACTGTGCCTTGCTACAATACATGTGATAACGGTATGTGCAGTATGCTCAAATAATCGTCAGCATCTGTATGACTAAATTTTTGTTGGAAATGTCGTAACAAAATTACTTAAACTTTCATAAAACAAAAACAAACTTCCAAGGTACCAATGAGTTGTTGATGGGTACTCTTGTAATCTTCGGCTTTTATACGACCCATTTGTGTTGGAAATACCTTAAAACTTTTACTAAAACTATTTAAAACAAAGAAAAACAAAATGTATCTGATTGCATGCCTCGCTGGTGTAGGTACGGACAGTAAATGCCTTTCCCAATGACACGTAGTAGGGCCGTGTCGGGATTCAAACCCATGACTTTACAGTTGCGAGTCTGAGAGGCTAACCGCTTGGCAACAGACTCA